CAGCCCACCAAGACGGCCAGATTTTGGCTGCTAAAGCATACTCAGACTGGCCGGCCCCTCAGCGTTGCCTCTTGCGTGCCTTTCTACGCAAGGCTTTTCAGGACGTCTACCACGCCAGTGTGTCCACGCGCGTGTGAGGGGAATGGAGGAGCATGGACTGCTGATTGCATCAACAGCACGGGTAACCCCGCCTGCTCCTGGATCGGCATCTTATAAGATCAACGCTGGCGGGCTGGTTCTTGTGGTCGCGATACCAGCATGCGACAAATAATAACATGTGAGGTAGGCAGCCGACGGCGAAGGAGGTTATGCGAAGCAATTGCAGTCGATTCGTCATGTCGCTGAGTAAGATATAAATGACGGGGCGGACACGGACCACAGGCGAAGTCATAGGCCGGCGCCGAACTGCAGCAAAAACGTCTCGCAGACGCTACGATGCTTGCGGTGCCGCCCGCTTCAATAAGAATGCAGAGCTGCAACGCAATCTGCACTCTTCGGGTCCAAGGGAGCGTTGAGACATTGGTGTGATAGCGTCAGATGCCAGTGTGACTTCACTGCAGTGTGAGCTAGCCGGGTGCTCGGTTCGCCCAAGGATAACAACTCTCCTGTGATAGTCTCTAGAGGTGGGCTTGCAGATGCCTAGGTCCTAGGGCATGATTTCTAGTTCCCATTCAAGCGGGAGAGTCGGAGGCGGCAGCGGTGACCACGTTCGGGTGGAATGAAACAGTTCCCGGTTCGGCTAGAATGGTTCATTGTCACAGTGTTTACTTTTTGTCGTTCCCCTGGTGGCTTGAGCCCGATCTGCTTTGGGTGGTTCCTCGGCTCGTGGCCGGTCACCACGGCTGTCGTCCTCTTGACTTTCTCAAGCTAGCACAGACGCGATCGCTGCCGTGGAGGGTGGTGAGCATCCCTAGTCGATATGGCCATCCTTCCCCGCCCGCTTTACGAGGATGATAGCGGGGTCGGGTGAGAGAGCGGCCAAGAAGAGACGATTTGATCAGATGCAGCCGAGAAGGGAGTGGTAGGAGGCCAGCAGACGAGCGAAGCAGGCTGTCAGGTTAACACATGCGAGGAGCTGATTGTTCGGATGCGTCGATATTAACATGATAACGACGGCCATGCGTTAGCCAGGAACGCCAAACAGAGCACCACACCCTTTCGTCTTCAGCACAAGTCGTCCGGGTGCTTCTGTCAGGTTCGGCAATATTGAGCTGAGTTGGCCTTGGTGGGATGAAGGAGACGTCTTGACGCGGGACAGAGCTAGGGTCTCTCTCCTGGAGGTTGCCCGCATGTACGCATACGGATAGTGTGAGTGGTGGGCGATATCAATACTCTACACGGCGGCGATAACGACGGGGTGAGAAGTACTCTGTACCCGGCTGACGTTGGCAGCACCAATCGACCGAAGTGTACTATGTGAGGTGTGACGAGTGGAGGGGTGAGGGGGCGATCTAAAGAGATGGCGATAAACCAAGCCATTCCTTCGGACAATTGCTGGCCCTGGGTCGCAGGAGTCACTGTGTTCACTGCAACAAACCGGGCCCCGCAAAGCGAAGACGATTGTGACGGTGGGTGCGCAGTTGGGATAGGCGGTTTGTTGCTGTTGGAGCGGAAGGTCATGATACCGTGGTGCGTGGTATTGCAGTTGGGGTCGAGAGACGTTTGGTGAGTGAGAGTCAGACACTGCAGACAGGAGACTGGAGAGAGTGACGCCGAGAGACAACGGAGAGACATGGAAAATAAAACCCAACGCCCATTGGAGAGACACACGAGGCAAAGAATGGGCAAGGACCCACCTTGTGGCTGCTGTCGATGGCATGCGCGAAAATGGGGGCAACTTCCTTTTCTCCCTCCTGCTGAGACGTGTTTTTTCTTTTCCCTTACTCGCAAGGCAAGAACCAACATCTGAGACAATTATCAACAGGCAGGCAGAAATTCACACAACACGTGAAGCGCGGCAGCTATTTCCCGGCCCAAGCTGCCTGCCCTGGGACGCCTGGATGTCTCAAGGCATCTTTGCCAGTTCGCACAGATTGACGTCTTGTGGTTTGAAAATGAAGGCAGATGAAGGTGCACGCTCTCTCTCTCTCTCTCTCTTTCCTCGGGCGACTTAACAGCAGACGTAGAGTATCCGTACCTAGTCCTACTATGTAGGTACATGGATAGCTGATTACCCAAGTTTCCACCGACTCAGGTATCCATACATAGTAAGGACGATGGTTTACACAGCATGGTTCACCCGAAGCATGGGTCAGGCTGCATGTCAAGGCGAGTCAAGAGTCAAGATGAGTGAGATCGCCAACGCCAACGCCGTCCGTGTGCTTGCTTGCGCCCAGACCCTTTTTCTTTCTTTTTTCTTGCGTGCCTGTCTTGGACTTGAGGTGCATTTGCTGCACGCTCTGGGCGACGGACGCGCGAATGAGACAATCAGGGTCGAGGGGGTCGAAAGGGATTCTGTTGAAGGGTAACGCAGCGTTGCTGCGAGATTGCAGACGCCGAGTTCGACTGTGCTAAGGCTCGCATTGAAATGACAAGGTTTCATCTCAATATGCTTTGGGAGGAGAAGTTTCTCTCCCTGCGCTTACTCTTGACCCCAAGCGTGCCAGGAACCTCATGATGGCACCGATGGGGGCGAATGCGCTTTGGATTGAAGACACTCGTGCTTCAAGTGCAGCGGCCATCCAGCCCGAGCAAGCTAGACAAGCCACTGCTAGTCTGGTCTATGAACGTGTTCGATCGAGGACGTTGGTTAGATTGGCTTTGTACTCCGTGGTTTGTTAGTAGTTTCTTTTGTCTTGTTGTTCTCGCCTTTACCGTAGCGGATGAGCAGGCGGCTGCCATGCTTGCTTTCTCTTCAATCTTCTTTATCGATATTTGTCTCCCTTGGCTCAGCTAGCTTTGTCTCTGCTATCTTTTTCTGGCCGCGATCTGCATGTCGAATCGAGTCCCCGAGTCCGAGTCTGAGTGATGTGAGATGGGTACTTGATCCCTGAGTCTTGAGATGCAGTGCTCGAGCTGTTGCCGGCGTAACGTCTGCATACGTACCGCATACAGCGCAACTTCTTATATCCTACCCACGTTCAGGCTCACTCTCATGCAATATGGAAACAGGCATGCATGGCCCATCACCAAAGTGCCTGATGCTTGCCGAAAGGTTGCAGGTTGCGGCCAGCACGTTTCTATACAATCCGCTATATCGCCCCCAAGCTCGGCTCGAGCATTTGCTGGCAGTAGCTGCATGGCGGCCATGGCTTCCTTCCCCGACAGCGTTGTCATCCCCAATGCATGCACTTTGCTGTCAGTCCCGTTGTAGCCAAGTTCGCTCCAAGGTCAGGCTGCAGACCTTGGCGCTATCGGCAAGTGCAGGATGCCCGAGGTGCGGCGCTGATGACAACCCCGGCCAAGCAGCCGAGGTACCTCACGAAGTGCTCTGTCCCAGTCCCAGTCCCAGTCCCAGTCCCAGTCCCGCGTACGGGTACGGATACCTCATGAGCTAACAGGGCAGTCAACGTGGGTTGGTTTGTCGTGGGCTACTACGTACACTAGTGACTGCCTTAACATGTTGAGGTTTTCGTAGACAGCCTGCAACGTAGTGGGTGTCTCCAACACCACCCAATCACAAAGGTTTTGGTAGAGTCGGTCAGGTTGCGAATTCCTCAGCTGAGAGCTTGGCCCCGCCTCTGGTCGACGTACCCCATGACTTGTGCAAGCCTGAAAGGAGCAAAGCATGCGCTGAATCGGGCCAGACTTCAGGGCCGGTGGCTCACCCAGTTTTCTCATTCTTGCCCGATTCGAAAGTCCCACGATCCAGTACCTACATACTCCGAGAGGTACCTACCTACATCTATGAATCGTGTGAAAAACACGTGTGGTCATCCTTACCTCAAGGCCTTCACCTTTCAACGAGCCACCTCTTGCATCCCGCCATCTTCCCGCTGTCATAAAGGTCCCCTGATCCCGGTCTCACTCATCGCATCATCTCTATCCGGCGTGCGCATGAGGCAACACCCAATTACTCATCGAAAGGCAGGTAGACAGGTACCTTGTCAAACTTACAGCACCTCAATGTCCCGGGCTTGCCTGACTGAGTTCCTCTCATTACGGATACTCGCCTTACTCTGCACCATTCTCTGGTGTTATGATGCGCATCTCTCGCCTCCACCAGGCGCCCTCTGCGGAATCCTGACGGCACCGCGTCTGCCGTTCAACTGGGTCAAGACTCACCAAGCCCAGAACAAGCCGCCAGGTCTTGGTTCGGGTCTTGGGACTTGGTCTCGTCTGGTCTGGTCCGGTCAAAAAAAAAAAGTTGGTCCTGGACCCGAGCGAGCCATGGCCCATCTGGCCCGGCGCCGTCTATGAACAAGGGTGACAGGGATCCTTCGTCTTTTGTCATCCTCGTCGCCCACGTCACCTGCGCGCAAACACTTTCAGACCTTTACTTTTGCCTCTCGCCAGTGTCTCCCAAGTCTCAAGGCCTCTTCCCGTCCCCTCCCTTGTCGGCAGCCCACACCCCTCCCAAGCCAGACGCCCACTGCTCCCCGCTTGGCCCGTAGACGACACCCCCCCCCCCCACACCCCCCTCCGCTCTTCCCAAGTTCCCGCTGCATTTTGGGTGGTGAACCGGGAGCCTGCCGCTGCTACAAACTGTACGCCATCCGCTGTCGCTCCTACGCTGCACCTTGTACAAATCGCTGCTTCGCCCGGCCTTTCGCAAAGTGGAGGAGGCTGAGTTGACCCAGTGGACCTGGACTGATCCTGTCTAACAAAGCCCAATTCGTCCCCCAATCTCTCGTTTGCTTTTAATTTCTGTTTCTTCAACTCCTTCCCATATCGGCGGGAACTAGAAGGATCACAGGAGTTTCTGGGTGTTTGTGAATGAGCAACACCGCGCAATACCCCGACGCATGTCGCTGCGTTCGAACCCCCGTCTTCATCCGCGAAAGGGGACAGGAAGACAACACCAACACTCATAATAAACCCACCATTCAAAGCCACGAAGTATGCAACGGGTTTCGAGCTTCCTCCCATCCTGGGAAGTCAGGAGGAGGACCAGCAACGCGAGCAGCACAAGCAACGGACGAAGCAGTGTCGTCACTGCAAGCAGTATCAAATCCCCCCTCGACAAGGTCTTTCGCTGGTCCAGCAAGGCACCCGCGCCGCTCACCACCGCAGCCCTCGCCTCAGCTACGACTTCACGAATCGGCCGGGAGGCCTTCTGGCCGGCTACGCTCGACGCCGAATGCGAGCGAGCCGCTCGCATTTTAAAGTCATTCTGCTGTGAGTATAACTTGACAAGGCGGAGAGGGTTGCTGAAGCTCGACCGCATCATGCCGTGATTCCTCACTAACACCACTTCGCTCGTTTAGCCGACGGCTTCCTGGCACCTTTGGACGACCAGACGAGCAGCGACGCCAACGCCGAACCAAAAACCCCAGCACGAATTTTCAAGAAGATTCCCTCTCGCATCCTACAAAATGCAGCTGGCATCGCCATTTTCACCTGCATGCGATCCGGCCTGTGGATGACCGGATCAGGCGGTTCAGGGATCCTCATTGCTCGCAAAGCCGATGGCACCTGGTCGCCACCTTCAGGCATTCTTCTCCACACGCCTTCTCTAAGCTTCATCATGGGCATTGACATTTACGACTGTGTCCTGGTAATAAACAACATTGCCGCTCTAGAAGCACTAATAACTAAACCGACCCTTACACTGGGCGAGGACATTGGCCTTACCACTGGACCGCTGGTTCCGCTGGAATCTACAGAAGTCGACAACAGATGGAAGGACCTTGACAACACAGTTCTGACGTACATGAAGGCGAGAGGGCAAACTCAGACCGTCAACATGAACGGCTGTATCTTGACAGAACGAGCAAACGAAAACGAGAGGTTCTACGGTGGCAATGTAACAGCGATGGACGTGGTTGCAGGCAATGTGTCGAGGTACGTGGAAGAGACACGCCCTCTTTTCGAAGTCATAAAAGAGGCAGAGGGAAGGATCGACGCCGACCAGGCAATTCTGAAAAAGCTGTCGGCATTGCCAGCACCGGGAGACGCCATGATCGAAACGCCTCGGAGTTCGCCAGCATCGCCCAAGACTCCTTTCGGCATTCCCAGCACCGAGGACCCTGACCCTTTCGGTGTCTTGGCTCTGGAGATGGCAGGGCTAGAGATCCGAGAGGCTGGCACCCGCCTTCGACCTACGAGCAATCAATTCGAATTCCACCCTGTTCCTTCTAGCCCGGGCTTTTCAAAGTTCAGGCAAAGTGGCGAAACCTTCACGACGAAGAGTAACCGAGGCAGCCTGATGTCTACCAAAACCAGCCGCACCAAAATGTCCGAGGCTTGGACACATTCAAACCCGACAGGGACGCCATACACCTCGCCAAGCCAGAGCCAGAGCCAGAGCGAAGATGGCGCCTCCGTTAATAGCCTCCCTGTTCTGAAGGAGCCCTTGGAGGAGGAGCCTGAGGAGGTTGACTACACCAAGATTGACTTCACTCCGTTAAGGCAGATCAGCGGAAGCCATTCGATTGAGGGAACCGTCATGACTGACAGCGACGATCACCTGCGCACCGATGTCAGCACTGCGGATGATGCTGCCACCAAGGCGTCTAGCATCTACACGAAGGACGATGCAAGCATCATCACCAGGAACGACGACGAGAACGAGAATGCTCAGAGTGATGAGCCAGCCGCTGACGCCGACGATGAGGAGGACGAGGAAGACGACGACGAAGAGCCCATCATCTTCGAGGTTGCAGCCGTACAGCCCGCTGCGCGCACCGTCGTCATGGCTGCTCCTATCCACGCCAAGGGCGCTTTGGTTACCATTCCCAAGAGGATTCCCCCGCCTCTGCCCGCAAGAAGCCCCATGAGAACTTCCCGTGCCAGCAAAAGTGATATTGGAGACGTCAGCCATCTTCACAGCCCTCTTCAGTCCTCTTTCACTCTTTCGCCGAGACAATCCATCGATGCATGCTCTATCCGAAGCGGATTGGACAACATTCCTTCGATTCACGAGACGGCGCCGGATGTTTCCGACGATGATGAGAGGAAGAAAATCGACTCTATTGTGACTGAGGGGCCACGAGTGGACGATCTATCTACCCCTGAGACCCCTAGGATCCAGGAACCCGAGCAAGCGACGCCCATGGCACCTGGAGCCTTTCCGGATGACGGAGACTTCTTGAACCCCTTGGGTTCATCCCTGAGAGAAACTACGAACTTTGAGTCGAGACACACCACTCCCCAAACAGTCAATGTCGCATGATACCATTCAATTTCTTTTCTTTTTCTAGTCTTTTCAGCGACACAGGCGCCGCGGCACCTTTTGGTGCCCAACAGGCGTCCGTACATCACTCAAGATGTGTACTAGGCGTTTGGGAAATTTGGGACTGGCATCCTCGGTTAGGGATACCAAACAATTTATAAATAACGACCAACTTGATGACAGGCAAAAGGCGTTTACGGATGTACAGAACAAAGTGGCTAGGTAAAAGAAGGCGCCAGCAACACCATGTTATGGGGAAGACCAGACACAGGACTGTACCTGATGGTCAATGAGGTCAGGAGAATTGGAGACAGGATTCTGTAGATAACGGGCGATGCGTGACAGCTTACAATGCGCTGGGAAGTAACTCAACGGAGCTTGACTGCTATAAAAAGGGGTGTCCTGGGTCACATATCGCAGACAGCCTAGTATTCTACTTATTGCCTAAAGATAATGATCAATCATTCAGAACAAGTCTTGTTGGCCGTGGTGCCTGGCCCTACGTTCAGACAATCAAATCTCATGTTCACGGTGTGCGGCTTTCTATGTGAATGTGAAGCTGATGCGGCCTTAGCTAAAGTAAAGGACTGGGTACTTCTCTCTTTATGGACGGTTTGCTCAATGCTCCCACTCTCATTCTTAGTTACTGTCTTTCCTTTCAACACTTCCAGCTTTTCGGGCATTATCATCACCTTTTTCTTCTCCCCAAACACAAACACCACAAGTCCAGCTATTCTCACGATGAGACCGAGCTCATATGTCCATGTGAGATGTGCATGCAATGGCTGCAAGGCTCGGAGAAACAATGATGCGAGAATGAATGCACGGACCATCTGGGGTCCTTTTCCACCACCCAATGCCAGCTATGGATGGGGCAGTGGCAGCCCAGGTGCCAACAGCAGCAGCAAGAGCGATAGCGACTCTGAGCACGTCGCCAATTCTTACGCGACTCGACTTCGTCCGCGTCCTTGCCCGCCAACGGTCCCCGTTACGCCCAAGAAGACTCCGAGAAAAGGTGCTGCCAAACCCCCCGGCACTCCAGGCACCCCCGCGCTCAACGACTACTTGACGGAAACTCCCAGCGGTGCTTAGAAAGCTTCGCGCGCCGGCAAAATGTCAACCCAGACGGGCAAGTTCCGCGAGGACCAGGTCCTCATCATCTGTCCCGGCAGCAAGACCACAATGGCTCAGCTGGGATGCGGCGAGCTTACCCCGCCCGTCCACCGTATCCCGACACGCATGTTCAAGGACGCAGAGACGGACGAGTGGCGGCCCTTCCATACCTTCAAGCGCAAGAAGGCCAATGCCAATGTCGTGCTTGCCATCGATGGCCCGCGGACCGACGATGATGAGTACGAGTGGGTTGAGGATACCGACTCGGATGAAGGCGCCGTCTACCCTATGCAAGGTGCGGATTTCCTTTTTGGTGATTGCATTTATTGAAATATTTGGTGTACTAATTGACGGTTCATTCAGGCGGTCGCATTACCAACATGGAGGCGTTTCTGGCGTTCCTCGATCATGTTCACAGCATGCTCACAACCACCTATCACAATACCCCAATCATGCTCATGGCCTCGCCACAATGGTGCCGCCCCGATACCGAAACGATCGCGCGCTACATCTTCGAGAAGACTCGCACTCCGTCCCTCTGCATGATCCACAGCGGTATCGCTACTCAGTACGGCCTCAAGTGGCCCAGTCTCACCGTGGTGGACATTGGTTTTGAAAAGGTCGACGTTACCTGCATACACGACGGCCGCGTAGTCAACCATGGAGAGCTCGGTTCTCCAACTCCGGAGCGCTTCATCTCAGGCGGCGACATGTTCACGCGCAAGCTCCTTGAGAAGCTCAAGGGCAAGGACTTCAAGTACGACATGGCGGAACAGCTGAAGAAGAGCCACATCTGCGAGGTACTGCCATATGCGCCAAACAGCCCTTCCCTTATGGATCTCCCGACAGCTCAGACGGCAGGAGCTCCTCCCAGCGCACCCATTCCCGAGGTGGCTCCAGCCGCCGCGCCCACTGCGCAACCAGTCGTTCCCACCTCCGAGGAGGACATTGAGGAAAAGGTGGCTGAGGAGGGTGTTCTCGATGTGGCCTCCATTGTCACAAGTGGAAATGCGCGCGAGTTTCTCGCCAAGAAGGAGAAGGAGAAGCAAAAGGGTGGCAGGAAGGCGAAGGCTACCCAGGAAGCCGAGGCAGCGAAGCCGGTCCGTCTGCCCAACACCAAGAGAACCCACAACACATTCCACTTCGAAGAGGTCGTCATGGAGGAGGTTCAACCGCCCAAGCTGGAGGCACCCAAGCCAGAGGCCAAGGAGGAGCCCAAAAGGGAAGATGCGGGCGGTTCGACTGAGTCCAAGGACGTTGAGATGACGGATGGCACCAAGCCCGCCGACATCACAGCTCCTGCGACCACCGAAGGTGACGTGAAGCCCGCAGAGTCTACGGCTCCGGCAGTGTCAACGGATGCTGCAGCTCCAGTTCCAGCTCTCGAGTCGAATGGTACAAATGGCCATACCGCTGCGACCCCCTTGGAGGCTTCCGCCGTCACCAACGGCGCCCCACAGCTCCAAGCCAAGCGTATCCGACGCGACATTGAAGTCGGCCTCGAGCGCTTCACCTTTGCTGATCGTGGCGAGATAGATCGCATCGTGACCACAATCTACCGCACCATTCAAGGCATCGACGATATGTACATGCGCCCTCCGTGCTGGGACAACCTCGTCTTCGTCGGCAACGGCGCTCGCCTCCGCGGCTTGAAGGACAACATTGTTCAGACCCTCTTGGCCCGTCACCTCATCTCCCCCAGCACGGCTACAATGTTCACCTCAGAACTGCCGTCCAACATCGCGACCCCTACTGGCACCGGTGCGCAGACTCCCACGGGTTCTTTCACGGGGGCCCCGCACCAGCTCCCCGCCAACGCCGCCGCCGGCTCCTCGGGCGTTAACCCTCTTCTTCAGGCCGCGACCACGGCCTCTGCTCAGAACCAGGGCACCCCGGGTCCCAGCGGCGATGCGGGTCCCAACGGTACCCAGTCCGTTGCGGGCCATCACTTCCACAGCCAGACGCCCACTAGCATCAAGCTGGCCACGCTGCCCACCTATCTCAGCGAGTGGAACAAGAACGGCTTCGAGGAGGCCATGTTTCTGGGAGCGCAGGTCGCCGCGCGCATCGCTTTCTGCCAGCACAACCTCGACATGGCCGGCCTCGAGGCTCAGCGACAAGCTAGCCTGAGCAGAGTCGACTACAAGTAAGCTTCTCCCCCTTTATTTTCCTTCGACCGCCAAATTCATTTTGGCTTTGACATTTTGCTAACTTTCCGCAAGTGAACTTGGTCCCAAGGGCATCCGCACCCACTCCATGCTCAAATAGTTCCAAGGTCAACCCGCACAACATAGGGACAACTGGTTTCTTGTTTCATCAAGTCCTTGAGAGGTTAGATTGCCTTCTGGACGACGACAGCGGCGGCAGTAGCGCAGGCATGGGAAATATATCAGGTTGTGATATTGGCGGTCTCAAGGTCATTGTTCACTTTTCTTGTGGCAAGGACTACATCACATTGTGTTCTGGAGTTTTAGGGACATTACAAAAAACCTCGGGGTGTGAGGCGTGGGGGAATTCTTTTTACCTTTTGTTTTCTTGTGCTTGATAATGAGAAAGAGGACGGATACCAGCAGAGAGAGAGGGGGGAGGGGAGGCGATCCCAGGGGGACAATGGTTGCCAAGATCCCTTTGGTCTTCGTCTAGGATTTCTCGTCTAGGTTTAAGTGGTATGACGAGTTGGCAGCCTACCTGTATGATATTCGGGAAAGGATAGGTATAGAATCCTTCAGACTTTTCAATTATTTTGCGGTAGGCAGGGGGTCTACTCAAGCAGCGGCTCGTGCTGTGAGGCAAGTCCTCGCGTGACGGCTATTCTTTGTTGTGGTTCCTGGTAGAGGGTGGCTTCGTTTCCCAAGTCACGTGGAACTGAGGGTCGTGCAGTTTCGTGTCAGGCCAATGGAGGGACAGTCAGCAGATATTTAGCAACGTCAGTTCCTTGCTGAGGGAATATGTCTGCTGCTTTATTGTGCTCGAGGATTCGAGTAGACGACGCTTGCTACTGAACAAACACCAACCAGGACTTGCTTAACGGGAAGTTGTTGTTCCGTCGTCGTCGTGCATTACAACCGACGCATAAGGGTTGTCAAAGCCGGTAGTCACCTTGACCCGAGTTGTAGGAAATGTCTCCCAGAGTCTCTTTGGGGACTAGGCAAGGTGTGTAGTCACTTCACAAATGCTGTATCGCCCACGTTCTTCTTAAGGGGGGTTGAACCAGATGACCCAGGGGCGGTGCTAGGATCATGGTCAAGTGGAAGAGGGGAGCGAACGCAGCTTGTTTGCGGGGAGGAGACTGGCCCCCGGCGGCGTTTCTGTACCGTTCCCATTTGCTTGCCTTGCGTGTGTGCGAGTGCGATGAATAGTCAAAATATCTAGATACTGGCGTAAGAATGGTCGACGCATGATGCCCGTCTATCGAAAGCTAACCTCTTCTGCTTAGACGTGGGGAGCACGGAACGAGGAGGAAATGATGGGATGAAAGATGTTCCCATGTTTCCGTTTGGTGTCACCTGGAGACACCCCGTGCATGTACCTCGACCAGAGACTCATCCGGCGTGAATGGGTAATGACAACCCCAGCCGGGATGTGTGTTTCGAGGTCGACTTCCTGGGCCGACACCTCGGCACGGACAGGATGTGGTCTATGACCATTAGAGAACATTTACGAAGTCGCGGAACATACAAGGTACGAAAACAGAAGATTTAGTTCTGCGAGCTTCAGTTGTGTATCAAGGCATTTGACGTGACCTCGGTTTGTTCTGGGTCAAAAGGTATTTTCTTACCAGAGTAGACGCGATCACAATGCTGTTTACTCGTCGGATGAGTACACGAAAGGGTTTCTTGAATCTTGGTATTCCGTATACTCTCTGTCCAAGTCACTTGGTAAAGAATACATACATTCTCGCTATGATGAGCATGCGCGTCTTTATACACGCAGCTTCGCTCCCAGAGTCATGTCTCTGAGCAGGGAGTAATTTCCAGAGTTTCGTGACGGCTTTCGTCTTGAGCCACCTGGATTTATGTATGTCTTCTGAAATATCACAGTAATGGCGATTTAAAAATACAATTTTTTTGCAGGAAAACCCTCGTGGGAATAATGAAATGCCTTGTGACGATGTCTCACAAACTATGGGAGGAAAGATTGATGTAAAGTGTATGAACCCGATTGGCCCAGACGCGGGCTTCGTGGGTGTATTGAAATGATACTTCAACGCAGCCAGTGTTCTTCTGGGTAAAGATGGTTTGTGTTTAGGATGGCTACTGGCTGAGATGTTTGTAAGCATACGCAGAAACGAGACAAACCCTACGATTCTAGAATCGAATTGTCTGGCTTGGTTACCAAGTGTGCTACAGATTGAATTTCGATAAGTATGTCATCTCTCGTTGACTTCAGCTCATATCGACTTTCCAGGGACTTTGTTATATAGCACCCCAATTGGTGAGAAGATCTGGCTGGACTCAATTGAAACATCTTCGAGCTCCCTTTCCCTATTTAGCAGGAAGTCTTTATAATAAGGGTGAAGCTTACGAGATGAAGTCAGGATGAACGTTTCCATGGAACTTTGACGTGTCTCCCGTAGCAATATTCAACTAATATTGGAAAACACGCAAGGGGCGGAGCTCAACATCCAAGATTCCCTATCGTTGAAGTGAACTCGTTGGCAATTACATATAAGCCTGCCGTCAGACAAACCGAAGACAAAGTGTCTTCCGCCGGATTTCAACTCATCTTGGTGTATTCTTCTCGGTCCCGTGGCATAAGGTAATTGGTGCCAATTTGTAACAATAATCCAAGAGTCCTAGTGAATGCGAGGCTGTCGAAGAAGAGTAGGGCATATCCCAGGCTGAACGAGGTTGACTCCCAGGGAGGTGTCACCTAAAATGCAGATAGACCGAAGGCAAACCCCTTTCGGCATTTTTAACAGCCAACGCGACCCTCGGACGAAACTATCATAAGCCTTCCATCGGAGGGTACGACCGCCC